ATATTTTCCCCACAGTCTGTGTAAATAACATGTGTATCCACTGTGTATTAGAGCAATGATGAGAGGATGGATGTTGGTGTAATTGCATACAAATACAGGGCGTGGCTTTCTGAGATTGTAATAAATGAGTTCAAAAAAGGAATTTTTACAAATGAATAATCCGTTTTTTTATATTCTTAAAAACAGTTTTATCTTTTTTATTTATGTATTATCTTTAATACAAATGACTTACTTTTAACAGGAAGTCTGTCAACTCTGAGATTGATCACGTTTTTTAACACCCCTGTAAACTAAAAACACCATTTTAGTTTTTTTTTTTCATTTTTTCTATCGTGACTCAAACCGTCTTTTAAACGCCTCCTTCATGATCGTTTCTCTAATATCCACCGCAGCAGAAATCAAATGAAGCCGTCGTCTGTCTCTGTTCCCAGATGATCAAGGCGGCGCAGGGTGTTGGGCTTTTAAACAAACATTCTTGTGCTTCCTGACACTGCTGAGCGCTCGGCAGTTACTCGTCCGTGACGTGTCGCGCGCAAAATCAACTGCCACCAAAGTGAGAGCCGACAAACGCGTGCAAGCACAAAACACTGCTCTTTAACTGGTGTCTCAGTGACTAAACGCTTTTCCACCTGATTTCCTCCGCTGCCGGAGAGCAGAGGGGAAACGCAGACAGGCGGCCTTGTTAAACATTTGCCACCAAAGAATGTTTTTTTCATAAGGGAAAGAAGCAGGACGGGGTGATGGGAACACACTCCCGTTCATTACTCTGCCGTGGGTCGGAGACCACTCCTGCAGTAGTACAGCTCACGGCCTGTAAGGATCAGGGATCAGGGATTTCTTCCTGCTGGATTTCTTTTCAAACTACACTGACTGAAACAATGTGTTATGGCTGAATAGGAAACTCACGTCGTAAAATGAGGCTGACCAGGAACACTAAATCTGACTGAAACAATGTGTTATGGCTGAAAAGGAAACTCACCTAGCATTAGCTGTTAGCCTGTTATTTAACATTAACTCTTGCAGGAAACTACAGCTGTGGTTTGCGAACCTTATCAGCAGCGTCGGTTGATTGGACTCAAACCTCCACCCAACTGTATTTAACTCAATGTCTTTCCTACAAATCTGCCATTTATCTTTACACAAAGAAAATTACATTTTCTTATAATAGCTACGCCACACACTACAGGTGGTTTGGTGTAGGACCTACTTTGGAAACCACTCAGTAAAAGAAACGATCATTTTAATTAATTTGATTCTTAGCTGAGACCGGAGTCTAATGAGCGACGAGTATAGATGAAACATTTTTATTCTAATTGGGCTTTAATTGTACGATTAACATCAAGTCTACAGACTCACAGCTGAAATCCAAAAAATCACTACAAAATGTTGCCCTTTTTTATTTCCGTCTCTCGTCTCTACTGTGCAGATTAGACGGATAAGTGTGTGAAATATTACGTTTAAATCCACTGCTGCCTTTAAAAGACAAATTCCCAATAAACATTATCCACTGAGGTCAAAAGCAAAATCTCATTTTCACTCGCATGAACGCTGCCTCCGACAATTTTTCTTCCCTGGAATGATATAGGGTTTGGTAATTTGAATCTGCCACCCACCATAAGTACGGTAACTGCCATCAGTCCAAGGCCTGCAGACAGTTTCTGCTGCTTATTACTGTTGTATGACAGCCTATTATCTCTCCATGACAGGCCATTACCTGCACAGAGGGGCCGGGTAATGAAAGAGGCAGGACGACAGAGGGAAGACGGGCTGTACTATTAACAAATCAAACAGGCGCTCCCGGTGCTTCAGCCGCCGGAATCAAACGCTGACACTCGGAGTCTGAGACGACTCTGCTGCTGCCGCACTGGGTTTGTGAAACTGAGCGCTGAGACAAAGTCGGTGTGACCAGAGGCATTGTTCTGTTCAGACCAGATGTGAGCATTCTGTTTCTGACTTTAAATTATTGTACTAGTTTCTTGTCAGTTCACATGGCAAAGATGTCCACTAGGGGGCAGAATTTAGAGAAATGAGTTCCAAATTGTGCTTGAACGTGGTTAAACAACCATGTTATTACAGTTCCAGACGGTGATGACCTTTTTGACTTCAAACACCATGATGGTGGTGAGAAGAACTGTTTCCAAAGGGAAACATTTTGAGGCCCCCTAGCGCCCTCTTGCGGCTCACACTGCTCCCTTGATGTTGTTATTCCCGTGTTAAGTCTCCAGATCGGTGTTTGGAGATGGTCATTTCTGAGGAGACATTTTCTAGTCTGTGAAACGCTCGCGATAACGACCTCTGATAAACACTTCTTCTCTGAACATGTCATTATTTTACTCTTTTATATAAGAACACTGCAGTATTATCCACCGCTGAGTGATATTTTTATACGTATGAAAAAACAACTTGTTTTTCCGTGTGATTGGCGGTCCGGCTCTGTGTGAATGGCTGTAATCAGAGGCAGTCATCTGTAATCATAGAAGCCTTCATTCACTGCCTTCGTGGGAGTGAGACGATTGTTTTGTTGCTTTTGTCGCTGCCTAGTTATCACGTTGTTCTTCATTAACCGCAGACAGCGGTCTATCTACAGACCTGAGCCAACGTGTGATAACATGGAGTGATGGAAGACGAGACGGAGAGGGAATTATGTAAATCAATGCAGGCTGGTACAGAGGTATCAGTTTTCCAATTTAGAGGCTTTGACCCGGGTACGTTATCTGACTTGTTGCTAAAATTGATGCACAACGGTCGGCCTATTTTGGTCCAGGTTTATATAACTGTGGTAATAATCATGACTCACTCAGATCGCTACGTTAGGCTGGAGTTCAACCAAGGAACATTGGAATATTTAGAGCAATATTAATAAAAACTAAAGGAGATTTCATCCAAGTTTTATATTAACTTGCAATACCACATCTGGCCACAGCTACAGAAACTTAAAGCTGGTCCTTTTTGTGACTAGTGGAATAATGTCTGTCCTTTTTTTGATGGAAAAGATTAAACTGCTGGTTTTCAGAGTGTTGTTCCAAGTTCCACCAGTAGGATCAGTATCCAAATAGAGCACCATTGCTTTGCCTTTTCAGCCCAGACCTGTGTCAGGACAAAAAAGTTTCTTCCTAATTCCATATTAGACAATGAGTCAGATCGACCACCTCTGGTAGGCGTACCATGATTTGAGAACCACGTACTATACTAGAGAGGACAATTGTCACCACAGTCTACGTTGTTCTGTACCGTAATTCTGGTTCAAACCTCGTTCATTGTACACCACCTATCGCAGTTTGCCATTCCTCCCCGACAACCTCCATCTTCTCCGATTCCCTCTCTGACGACCAGACATGACCCTGCTTATTAATGCTGCAGCGGCGAGTGGATCAGTAGAAAATTGGACAGCCGAGGCCGCAATCTATTCATCCATCCCTCCCCGTCCTCTCTCCCCATCAGTCACTCCCGCCTCTGAGTTCTCTCCTGGTTTTTGTCTCGTTTTAACCTTCCTCATTCTTCTGGCCGGTGTGTGCGCGTGACCTGCTTTGTTGCACTCATTTCATACAGTCCTTTGAGGTGAAATGAGCAACTCAACACCAGCCAGGTCTGGAGTCTCCTCAGGGCTCTCCTGGTCTCCACTGGGAGCCCATCAGTGACAGAAACCCGGTAGATTTTAATTGTTCCTGAAATCGTCCCACATGGCACACACCTAACAATGCCTCCATCGCAGCATAATGTAGAGGGCGTAGTAAAAACCTTATCCTGGTGTGACATTAACACTTGACTACTCTTATGCCTTCCTGCATTAAAACATGGGAAATCGATTCCAACTCGATCCCAGCAGAGGATGTTTTTCTGTAGCAGGAAACTTATAGGCAAAAAAATAAAGATCTCTGTTGGCAACGGTGATGGAATCAGACGTCACCCTCTTGAAAGTTGATCAGCTTGAAAGTAGCTAAAGAAACAGCTAAACAGTGGATAAAATGTTTGGGGGAAAAAAATAGCCAAATTATAGACGATTTAGCCACGACATAATGGGTTAACTTTAAAAAAAAATTTTTTTTTTTACTCTTTTCGGCCAATTACTGCTGAGTATACATGGTATACTGCAATGTTATACTGGCACTGGCCTCCTACACTGGAGATTGGCCACTAAATATATATATGCATATATATATATATATATATATATACAGTGGTGCTTCCCTAACTCTCTTTAATTTAATACATTAATAGTACATTTCTGCAGGGCTGGAACAAATTAATTGATTTTTAGTTTTTATTAATGGAAAAAATGCAATGGAGACACAAGTGCTGTTGTGCTCGTATCATATATATATATATATATATATATACCATATATATATGTATATATATGTGTGTGTGTGTATATCGTGCCACTATTAAATGACCACGGTACTGATCCCACTCCTGCTCCGTCCTTCGTTTGATTCCATTTTTTAAATCCCTCCATTACAAACTGCCTCTCGTCATCACAGTAACTGTATTTACTGCCACAGGAGGACAAATAGAAAGGACGAGTTCCTTTGTCTCCGTCAGCTCCGTCTCCTGTCCTTGTCCTTTGTCGCTGCTCTGAGTCCTGGTGTGTGTGTGTGTGTGTGTGTTGTGGAATGTGTGTGAACTGTTATTGTGAGTGTTTTACTCTCCGCTGGCTGTAAATGGGATTTCTCCCTCTGTGATAATACATTTACCAACTTATCATCGACTAAATACCTGAACCTGTGACAGATGAACCTGCTCAGAAAAGTTCAACAACAAATAATGTTGAAGAAGACAAACAAACTAAAAGATAGTGTTTATTGTTTGCCCTCAAAATCAGGATTTTTATGAAGTCAACAGCTATTCTTCGAACACAGAACTCAGAGATGGTGCTGAGTTCACATCCCTATTCCTCAAAGCCTCCACTGCGGGTGCACGACTGACCCGGGGCAACACGACCCCCCAGGGCAACACGACCCCCCCGGGCAACACGACCCCCCCGGGGCCGCCACTCTTACCTCTTCAAACAGCTCCAGACTGTAGGTGTTGTCGTCGTCCGCGAAGAAGACCACCCCGGGGTCTTTCTTGGTCCGGTGCTGGCGGAGCCACGTCAGGGCCAGATTCCTCTGCTCCGTGGCCCGGGGCATTCCGGCGCGTTTGTATCTGCGGGGCGTGTAGACGTGCAGGTGCGTGAACGACACGCCGCTCCGCGCCAAGAACCGGGACACCAGATCCGTGCGCGTCGTGGAGTCCTCCACCACGATCCAGTGGAAGCGGGCCACCTGGCGGAAGGCTTGTGCCAGCCGGGTCAGCTCGGCTTTCTGCACCGGGCGGGTGTAAGTCGGGGTGATGGCGTAGATGACCGGCAGGGCGGACTGATTCTGATTCTGGCTCTGGGTGACCCTCGGTGCGCCCGTCCGCGCCACCCGCGGCTGCAGCTGCTGCTGCTGCTGCTGCTGCTGCAGAGCCCTGCTGCTGCGCCCGGCCACGGGGATCCAGATGGTCCGTTTGATGTCGATGTCGATCATGATGATGACGATCAGAACCCAGGGCAGCAGGATCAGAAAGCGGCTCAAAAGCACGGATTTCATGGTGAGGCTGAAGTTTCACCGCGCGCCTTCTCATCCACTCTCAGTCATCACCGACAACTCCAACTGCCTCTGCCCGAGTCCGTGATCTCTTTAAATCCGTAACGTTATTTTCCTTAGCGTTTGGACCAAAACAAAACAAAAACCTTCCGCCTTGTCACCCCCGTCCCATCGGGAGAATGTTCCCTCCTCCTCCTCCTCTTCCTCCTCTTCCACCTCCTTCTGCTGCTTCTCTGCTCTCTGATGGGACTCGATCCGGTTTCTCAAACCCTCCCACCAGCCCGGGTGAAATCCCGCATCACCCACAGTCACTCAGTCAGTTTGTTTATTTAGTTAAAGCAAGAAGAAAAGAAAAATAAACAAACCCCAGAACAGTAAACCGGTCCGGATGAGCTGCTGCCCTTCCTTGGTGCAAACCACCGGTGAGCGCCGCCGCCGCCGCCCCGCCGAGGAGCATCACTGCTGCTGCTCTGACTCCGAGGATAATGAGAGAGGAGGGGAGGAGCAGGTGCAGAGCTGGGAGAGCAGAGGAGGAGGAGAGTGAGCGGAGGGTGAGAGGCATAGAGTCACACAAGTGGAAATCCCTCCTCCTCCTCCTCTTGAGAGAGAGAGAGAGAGAGGGAGAGAGAGGGAGAGAGAGACCTTGTTGTGTTTTTGCGCATCATTGTCCACAGAGAATAAACCGAGCTGATAGACAAACACGGGACTAAAAACACACACAGATGGATAGAGATGCTGCTCCGCGGTTGACATTTTAACAATTATTATAAAGGGAGTTGACAAAGAATTCTAAAATCTGCTGTTTAAAACTATAGACCCCTGACTCCCCTGCAGGGGGTGCCATTTATAACTTACAGCTTACAGCAAAACAGTTCAATTCTTTGCTAAGACAATAATAAAAAATATTTTTTCCCACTTTCCCAAAGTCAAGATAAAAAACAACCTACAGAGTCCCAGAACCCCTAACAAAGGAGTGAAAAAACATTGAAATAGCCCACAGTTTTGACACATCGTATTCAACATTCACAATAATATAAAATAAAGATAAGAAAAAAAAATGATTTCATTTGTGTTATAAAAAAAAATTATTTCGTCCAGCATTGGCTTCACGCCCCCCAGTTTGGGTACCACGTCTTTACGACTCCCATGAAATTAGCTCACCCTGCAAATCCATAACCTTTCCTCTCCGTCTTCTTTATGTTTCCTCCTCGACGGCCTTCCCACTTACACGTGTATGTCATGCTAGCCATAAATGACGGAAGGCTGTGATTGGTCCTCGTCTGACACCTCATCTTCAGCTGTATATCTCTGTGCCTGTGTTTATGACCCCTCCATCCGATGAGACTTGACAGCCATCTCGAAAGACAAACACATGTTCTTGAGGAGCTGCTGTTGATGATATTACTTCCTCCTCCTCCTCCTCCTCCTCTTCATCATCATGAAATGATGTTCTTCTTCCTTGTCTTTATTTTCCTCTTGGCTGATCAAGGTCGCATCCAAACAGAGCACTGACTTCTCAGGAGGGTTTCATCTTGGCAGAATTGGATCAAACGGAGGTCACCGGTCTTTCAGATCCACTCCAGGGTCCTTGAAACACGAGTGCGGGAAGTTCTCGTTCTTGGCGATGCCCTCCAACTCCAGCTCCGAGGCTGATCAATGTTGGATCATTATGCACGCAACACGGATCAAGAGATCTGTGTGATCCCTGGTAATAGACTCTCTTCTCAGCCAACTAATAGCAGGCAAACAGGCTTATAATTTCACAGGATGAAAGCCTCTTT